CCACCTATCTGATAGGGGGTTAATATCCAAAATACAGTATATAAGGAACTCATGCAACTCAATTGCAAAAAAGAAAACCATCTGATTTTTAAATGGGCAGAGGACTTGAATAAACATTTTTCCAGAGATATACAAATGGCCAAGAAGTACATGAAAAGGTGTTCAGCATCACTTATCATTGAGGAAATGCAAATCAAAACCACAATGAGATATCACCTCACACTTGTTAGAATGCCATGATCAAGAAGACAAGAAATAACAAGTGTTGGCAAGGATGTGGAGAAAAGTGAACCCTTGTTCACTCTTAGTGAGAATGCATATTGGTACAGCCACAATGGAAAGCAGTATGGAAGTTTCTCAAAAAATTGAAATAAAAATAGAACTGCCATATGATCCAGCAATCCCAGTTCTGGGTATACACCCAAAGGACATGAAATTAGGCTCTCAAAGAGATATCTGTACCCCAGTGTTCATTGCAGCATTATTCACAATAGCCAAGATATGAAAACAACCTACATTTCTGTCTATGGATGAGTGGATAAAGATGATGAGAGAGAGAGAGAGAGAGAGATAGGTGATAGATAGATAGATAGATAGATAGACAGATAGACAGATAGATAGATAGATAGATAGGCATTGTATATGTAATGAAATATTGTTCCACCATGAGAAAGAAGAAAATCTTGCCGTTCGCAACATGGATGGACCTTGAGGGCATTATGCTAAGTGAGATAAGTCAGACAGAGAAAGACAAATACTGTTATGATATCACGTACATATGAAATCTAAAAAATCCGAATTCACAGAAGCAGACAGTAGATTAGTGGTTGCCAGGGGCTGGGAGGTAGGGGAAATGGGGTGACATTGGTCAAAGGGCACAAATTTCCAGTTATAAGATGAATAAGTTCTGGGAATCTAATGTTCAGCATGGTGATTATAATTAACGATGCTATATTATATACTTGAAAGTTGCTAAGAGAATAAAACTTAAATGTTTTCACCACCAAAAAAAAAAAAAAAGTTAATTATGTGAGGTGATGAAAGTGTTAACTAACCCTATTGTAATTATTTCAAAATATATACATGTATCAAACCATCACATTGTACAACTTAAACTTATACGTTACGGGTCAATTTCATCTCAATAAAGCTGGGCGGACAACATACCTTTCCTCTAGATTTCTTTCTATTTTAAGATCAGGCTTCTGCAGGACCATGCCTGTGGGCTTCCTAGAAACCCTTTCTTCTAGCTGGGAAGCTCACCTACGCACTGCCTCACATTTTTGAACTTTTAACAAAGGGTCATAAAGCCACACCTTTAATCTGATCTATACTCACAGGCTGTTTTTCACTTTGACAATCTTTTTTTTCACTGGATGTGAAACAAGCTTTTCTTTCCCAAACTAGCAAGTCATAGTCTCTCTACATTTCCTTTAAATTCTTCTGGAAAGTCAGCCAGTTCCTTCTATAGGTCAACCCTTTCTTGCTGTGCTGTGTCATACTCATCAGTGAGTAGTAAGCATTATGCCTGGGCATCTCCTTAGCCAAATACTTTCTATTTTCTGTTTCTATTTCTATTTCTGGGTAATCACAGGCGACAGTTTGCCAATTATTTCACTACATCATAACGAGTCATCATTTTTTCTGTTCCAATAACAATTTCCTCACTGTTTTCCCTACGTATTTTAGCCTTTTCTTAGGGCACTACCCAACTCCTGATACCAATTTCTGGAGCAGTTATCTATTGCCACAATAATGTTGCATGGCAAATCACATCAAGCATTTATTTAGTCTATCAGCCTAAAAGTCAGCTGGTGGCTCAGATGGGGCTGACTGATCTTCCCCCCGACCCTGCCACGAGCCAACCACAGGTTGAACCTGGACCCTGGCAATGAAAGCACTGAATCCTAACCACTGGACCACCAGGGAATTCCCAGGACTGACTAATCTTGAATGCCTTGTCTGAGACCACTTTTCCCAGTCCCAGGTGTCTTCCACCGTCCAGCAAGCTGGTCCAGGATTGTTCTCATGGTCGAGACAGGAGTCCAAGAGAGAACGGAAGCATGAAATGCCTCTTGAGGCCCAGTCTCGAAACTGATACACCATCATTTCTGCCACATCCTATCGGTCAAAGCAAGTCACAAGGCCAGTTCAGATTCAAGGGATGGAGAAAAGGAATCTACCTATTGATGAGAAGAGCTACAAACTATTATTACAAAGGGTGTAGAAACAGAGAGGATGGAGAATTGGGGCCACTTTTACAATTAATCTAGCACAGTAACAACCTTGGGAAAAGAGACAAGGCTTGTAACATAATGTTTAGACCTCAACACAGCATTAAATATCTCAGGAGAGATAAGCAAATCTGGAAAATCCCCTTAGAGAAAGAAGCACCTATATCCACCATTAAGTCAGCTCAAGCCCATCTAGTGAGCAGAACATGTAAGGCCTAGAATAATCAGGGGTAATAAAGAGGCAAGAATGACATCATGATTTCCCCAATTGTCCTAAGCCAGGTTCAGATTCTGAGTTGTGGTTTCAACCCCTATCCATAAAAGTATTGATTTAGGTCAACATGTGTATTTATCCTTTAAAGGAAGTCTTTGTTCCCAGTAAGGATAAATATCCCACCAGTGCTATTTATTACAGGCTTTTGCAGCTTTTGGGAGAAGAAGATCCAGTTCCTTTCCTTATAAACTCTTCACCTCCTCTTTTAAAATGTTAATTGTATGACCCTGGGTTTAAATTCTCTATTTTTTCCTGTAAAAATATACCAGCGTGGAGCCCCTGATATCAGCTCACTTAATTGTTTAGTCTGCACCATGACTAAAACTGTCCTCAGATGATTCTGAAATGCTGGTGGTGAGTCAGAGACAAAGATGCTACAGCCGCTACACAGGAACAGTCTTGGGAGCAATAGCTAACCTGGAATCTATCTCAAATTTTTGCTTTCATCTCCCCACATGAGCACTTCTGTTTAATACACCATAATTTTCTCTAGAGCTATTCTTATCCCTGGATAATGGGAGGGCCTTTCAGCTTTAGCTGGAAGGTGATTTGGGGCCTCAAAAGACAGGACAGATATCTGCCTCCATAGTATTATAGCAAATTACTGCAATTTCTAGTTCCCCCTCTAATAATATGTTATTATACAAGTCTGGGGATTCTTCTATTAAGTATTTGTGATTTTCCAGGCAGCCTGAGGGTGGCAGCAATGGACCTTTGGTCTCCAGACTAGCCTGGGAGCTGTCCTAAAGGAGCCACACACTTAGTCATTGCCCAGATGCTGGCCTGAAGCTGTGTTTGAAGCAGCACATAGGCTGGATGTTGTGTTTTATAAATGCGGTGCTTGGACCAGGAAAACAAAAATGCAACCTCGGGGCTTCCCTGGTGGCACAATAGTTAAGAATCCGCCTGCCAGTGCAGGGGACACGGGTTCGAGCCCTGGTCCAAGCCCTGGTCCGGGAAGATCCCACATGCCGTGGAGCAACTAAGCCTGTGAGCCACAACTACTGAGCCTGCGCTCTAGAGCCCGCGAACCACAACTACTGAAGCCCGCACGCCTAGAGCCCGTGTTCCGCAACAAGAGAAGCCACCACAATGAGAAGCCCGCGCACCACGACGAAGAGTAGCCCCCACTCGCCGCAACTAAAGAAAGCCTGTGTGCAGCAACGAAGACCCAATTCAGCCAAAAATAAATAAATAAATAAATTTATTTTAAAAAGAAAATGCGGGCTTTCCTGGTGGCGCAGTGGTTGAGAGTCCGCCTGCCGATGCAGGGGACACGGGTTCGTGGCCCTGGTCCGGGAAGATCTCACATGCCGCGGAGCGGCTGGGCCCCTGAGCCATGGCCACTGAGCCTGCGCGTCTGGAGCCTGTGCTCCGCAACGGGAGAGGCCACAGCAGTGAGAGGCCCGCGTACCGCAAAAAGAAAAATAATAATGGTAATGGATATGTAACTATCAAGAAAATTAAGTCACCTAGAGGGGTGGGATAGGGAGGGTGGGAGGGAGATGCAAGAGGGAGGAGGTATGGGGATATATGTATATATATAGCTGATTCACTTTGTTATAAAGCAGAAACTAACACACCACTGTAAAGCAATTATACTCCAATAAAGATGTTAAAAAAAGAAAGAAAATGAAGTATTTATAACCACAATGAAAAGCATAGGTGAATCTCATAAAAATAATTTTGTGGGAAAGAAACGAGACACAAGAGTATGTAAAATTCAAAAAAACAAGCAAAATTAAACTACAGTATCAGAATGCACCTCTAGGTAGTAAAACATAAAGAAAAGCAAAGAAATGATTACCATACATATCAGTATAGTAGTTACCTCTGGGTAGAAAGGAGACAATAGTGATAAGAAGAGGGAAAGGATTCTGGGATACTAGAAATATTCAATTCCTTGACCCAGGTGGTGGTTACATGGACGTTCACTTTGCGATAAATCATTCAGCCGTATATTTATATTTTGTATATTTTTCCTGCATGTTATATTGTACGAAAAAGATTTAGAAAAAAAAAATGTCCAAGAATAGCCAAAGCATTTTTTTTAACTAACAAGGGAACGTTATTACAAAGTTTTAGTAATTAAGAGGATTGGTATGGGTGAAGATAGGCAAATTAATAAATGGAAAAGAATAAAGAACCACACCCTACCCCCAAAATAACCCATGAATCTAAACTATCTGGGTATATAATAGAGGTGGCATTATAATCACTAGAGAACAAGAAGGAAGAGGCATCCTAGGATGTAATCTTGGGAAAGCCAACAGGAAGCGATCTTGTGAGACTTTCCTTGTAAACATTAAACTGGTTGAAATGTAAAACAAGGCTCGACTCCGCCCTTAGACATTCTGGGTAACGGGAAGGTTTCAGGTGTGTTTGTTGGCTCTTCCGGCCGCTAGGTGGCACCTGGAAGATCGCAGGCGCGTGGGGATGACTCATGCGCAGCGCTCTTAGGTTCAGCCGCAGGCCCTACGCTCGCGCACGTGGGTTTGCCCACAGCGTTGACCCGTGTGCACAGCGCTCACGCACGCGCATTTACTTGCACACCGCTGATCGCGCTGTACCGTTATTCCCGTTTTTCTGAGAGCGGCCGAGCTGACCCCGCGGTCCGGGATGTCTGAGCTGCCCGCAGACAGCAGTGTCCCACCGAAGGGCGCGGCGAATGAAAACGGCGACGTCCCGCAGGCGGAGGTAGGCGGCGGGAGGCGGGAGCCGGCCCCAGCGCAGCCTGTGGAGGCCAGGGACCGTCCGATGGCGGCGGCCAGGGAAGGTCCAGTGGCGGATGCCAGGGAAAGTCCGATGGCGGCGGCCAGGGAAGCCCGGATTGCAGAGGTTGCCCGATTGTTGGCGGAGCCAGCAGAGGAAGAGGGTCCTGAGGGCAGACGCCGGTCCAGGCCCGGGAACAGCCCAGGCCTGGCTGCGTTGCCGAATCTCCGCCTCCGTCACCCACTTGGTGTTTTAGGAATTAATTATCAGCAGCTCCTCCGCCACTATCTGGAACACTACCCGATTGCTCCCGGCAGAATTCAGGAGCTTGAAGGACGCCGCAGGAGATTTGTGGAAGCCTGCAGAGCAAGGGAAGCAGCGTTTGATGCCGAATATCAGCGGAATCCTCAGAGGATGGATTTTGATATTTTAACATTTAGTATAACTCTGACTGCATCTGAAATTATCAATCCTCTGATAGAAGAACTTGGTTGTGATAAGTTTATCGGTAGAGAATAATTTAGTGATGAAACTACTTCAAGAACCTCTGCGTTCAGTACAGTCATACCAATACTGTAACTTGATTTTAAAAAGTCAAAGTATTTGAGAATAAGGCAAGGCACAGTTGAAAAAGAAAAGGAAGCTTATCAAGAAAAACCATCAGAAAAGAAATAGAAGAAAATAAAAACCGTTATGACTCCTCTAACGTCCTTTGAGTTTGTGATTGATCCGGATTGTTTTCCCTGCGTTGTGGAAATGTCTTTTAGAATTGCTTCACTAAAGTGAAGAATGGTTTTATATAATTGAGACTTGATGAAGAAAAACTGCCAATAGAGCCCATAGTGTAAGATTGATTTTGTGTTTTCTGAGGCATTTCAAATGAAAGGCAAAGTAAATACTGTATATATTACATGATAAATTATGTATTCAAGACTATTGGAAATTTCTGGATTTTTTCTTTCATTCAATTTTTAATACTTTTTTGGTAAATAATCTATTTATAAGCCCCAAAATATAAAGTGTGCAATGAAAAGTCTTCTATCCCTTTCCCCCCGCGCACCCAGTACCTACCACAATTCCCATCTGTAACCACAGTACCTCTTCTGTCTTTTCAGTTTCCCTATGTATACACAAGCAAATACAAATCTGGGTGGGTTTTTTTGTTTTCATTTCTTCACAAAAGTTGGCAAATTATATTTATTGATTTATGCATTGCATTTTCAGTAAGAACTTACCTTAAAGATCCTTCCAAACCACTACATTTCCTCATTCTTTTTTAGAGCTGCATTTTATTCCATTCTGTGGTTATGTTGTAATTTACTTAACCAGGAACATACTGATGGGCATTTAGGTTTTTTCCCATCGTTTTCTATTGGCCAAAAAAGTTGCTATAATAGTTAATCTTGTCTGTATATCCCATGGCATGGGCACAAATACAGTATTGCTCTGATTCTAAATGCACTTTTCATATATTGACGTCTCTGAAATTGGGGTGTGTCTTACATTTGATGTTGTAATACAGCATTTTCATAAAAATAATGGTGCATATTATAATCAGCAGCTTCTTAGATTCCTTGTTATGTATAATATCTTAGTACGAATTTCCAGAGGTGAGAATTCTGAGGTGAATGCACTCATGTGAAAGTTTATAGATATTACTAAGTTGCCTTCCATTCATGTTGTACCTCTTCACACTCCCACCAGCAACTGCTGAACATGGACATTTCCCCTGCAGCCTCACCAGCACAGTAAGTCATCAAGTGTCTGGATTTTACCAGTCTATATAGTTGGAAAATGGTATATCAGTTTTAATTTGCTTTTCTCTCATTATGAGGGAAGTTAAATATCTTTTCATTTGAGTCATACATATTCCCTTTTCCATGAACTATCTATTCAAAATCTTTTCTCCATTTCTTTCCTGAATAATTTTGTCCTTTCTTTATTGACTCTGTTAACTATTAATGAAATAGTGAGATGAGATATGATAATAGCTTGTAATGTGAGTTATGGATATTTTTTCCTAGGTTGTCATTTGTCTTCGGTTTTCCTGAAAGCCTTTTGGCATGGAGATTTTTGCTCTTGTTTCCTTTTATCTTTTAAACCTGCAAGATTTGGGGAATTCCCTGGTGGTCCAGTGATTAGGACTCAGTGCTTTCACTGCCTGGGCACGGGTTTGATCCCTGGTCAGGGAACTGAGATTCTGCAAGCCGTGCAGCGTGGCCAAAAAAAAAAAAGAGAGAGAGAGAAAAAAAAAACCTGCAAGATTTTGAAACTCAAGGTTTTCTCGGTGTGTGTGCATGTGTATGTATGTGTGTGGTTTTATTGTTCATATTTGAATTTTTGAACCATTCGGAATTTATCCCGATGTACAATATGAGGTAAGGATCCAAGTTTTCTTTTTTAGGTGGCTACCTGGCTGCCCCAATACCAGATACTAACTAGCCCATCTTTTCCCCACTAACTTTGTTTCTAACTAGTTTTACATGTAATAATGCTAAAACCTCTCATTATACTTCATTTTCAGAGTGTTCTGGCTATTTTGGTTTATTTATATCACTACGTCAACCTCAAAGTCAGCTTACCTTATTTCAAAGTTCTTTATTAGAATCACATTATATTTAATAAATCGAAGATAACTGCCATCGCTAAGATATCCAAATTATTTTTCCACTTTTTAAAGGCTTCCTTTGTATCCTTCAGAAGAGTATTAATGTTTGTCCTTAAATTAGTGTTCCTAAAGTAGGCCTTTTACAGGTCTAATCATTTATTCCTAGACATTTTATCTTTTATGTTTTTTCCATAGTAAATGAGGATTATCGCTGTTATATTTTCTAAAAGCTTGCCTATGTATTTGAAAATAATTCATTTCTGCATATTTATTTGATAGCCTGTTAACATACTGAATTCTCTTACTGTTTTACAGTAATTTTTCATTTGAATCTCCTAGATTGGGGAACAAGTCATATGTAGATAGTGACAATATTGCCTCTTTTATAATTTTTATACTTCTGACTTCTTTCTCTTTATTTATACATTAGACAGAAGGTACTTTATTGGTACCTTCTTTCTAATGTAAAATAATATGAATGATAGTGAAGCATCATTAACTTGTCCTAATTTTGTAGAGATTCTTCACGTATCCATCTCTCACTATTTGTACATGTGTGTGTTTTATCTAGAGTGGTTATAGAATTTTGTCAAAGGCCTTTTCATAATCCATGAAGGTGTTATTTTTATATCCACCACCATGAACCATGATTGCATTCTTCAAATGATCCTTATTTACAAATGAGATATAATCCTTTTTTTTTTTTTTGCCTCACCAAGTGACTTGCAGGATCTTGGTTCCCCGACCAGGGATCGAACCTGGGCCCGGCAGTGAAAGCGCCAAGTCCTAACCACTGGACCGCCAGGGAATTCCCTTGGCCACTTCTTAGATCCCATTTCTATGAGACCTCCATGTGCATGAACTAAATTTTGTTTCTTTTTCTCCTGTTAATCTGTCTTGTGTCAATTTTATTATTAGTCCAGCCACAAGACCTCAAGATGGGTCCAAGGGAAAATTTCCCCCTCCCTGACAGTTCCTTCATACGTTTCCAATCAAATCCACTCACACGACAGACCCCTTCACTTTGGTAGACTTGAGTGAAAATCTGGTGGGTCGCAGGGCTGGGGTCATTCCTTGAAGGACAAGCCTCCCCACCTGGCTGGTTCCTTTCAACTTCTCCCCTTCCCTCCTCTTCACCTTTCATCTCAGGAGCAAAATCAAGTCCTCTTCTTGTCTCTCAAAGCATTTTAAGGAGCCTCTTCTCTTGCTTGAACAATTTCAGCTGCAGTGTCAGCACGTACAGTGGCTTCTTCCCCAGAGTTTAGCCAAACTCCCCAGGTCAGGGACACAGTCCTCTGTTACAGACACCATAGCTCTAAGTTCAGGGGTCCCCAGGCCACTCCCACGTCTGACCAGCAGGCTACAAGTTTGAAGATTCCCAGTTCCCATGCAGTTTCAATAATTTGCTAAAAAAAAAAAAAAAAAAGACAGAACTCAAGAAAGCATTACAGTTATGATTACAATTTCATGATAGCAAAGGATACAAATCATAACCAGCTAAAGGAAAAAAAGACGAGTAGGACCAAGTCTGGGAGAGTCCCAAACATATTACTGCCATCCTCAGGGATGCGTCATCCTCCGGCACGTGCAGAGCATTTACCAACCAGGGACGCTCAGCGAGCCCTGAAGTTAGGCCGAAATCGCGAGGCTTAAACCCTCTAAGACTCTCAGGGATGGCCCAAAGGGTTCCCCACACACACCAGTAACAGACACTCCTATTGTAATGGGGATGGGGCGGCCGTTACCGCGCGACAGTTACCGGGCAACCGTTGCCCTGTAACGAACAGGTCCCTCGCATAGCTGCCTCTGGCGCTACAGTTACCAGGCAACCGTTACCGGGAGACCGCTAATGCGGGACCGTTAGAGCGAGACCGCTAGCCTGGCCGGTTAGAGGGCCCCTTCTGCCAGTCAGGCGGTTGGTGGTTCTCTGGGGAAAAGTGAGGTAAGAGGCGGATCCCGGCCTTCTCCCGGGGGCCCTCCAGGCACTCTGGCCTTGGGCCAGCAGGTGAGCTGGGGGGCTGGGGATAGGCTGGGGGCTGTGTCCTGCAGGGCTCCAGAGCCCTCGCCAAGGCCCCCCACTGGCCGGGCCCAGACCTTGAGGCTGCGGTGAACCTCGCCCCCATCCCCACCTCTGCGACCTAATGGCAGCGGCAGTCTGCGTGGGACGCAGTTTGCGGGACCTGGCCCCCGCCGTTTGGGCGGCCTGAGGAGCCTGAGGGCCGGCTGGGTCCTAGGCGTCTGGCTCCCTCAGTGATGACAGCTGTGCAGGGTCTGGGGACCTGGTCCTGAGGGCACTGCCAGCTGGGGTCTACCTCTTCAGCCGGGAGGATCCAGACTGGGTGCCAGACGAACGCTCCTGGGCAGGGTAACTGGCCCCCGCAGGGACCCCCTCCTCTCAGCCAGGACCTGGACCTCGGAGGGTGAAAGTTGAGCCTTGGGACCTTGCCCTTTCTTGTCAGAACAGAGAATAACATTTGTTGGGTGGAGATTTACAGGAACATCATTACCTGACCGTGACCTGACCTCAAGAACAAAGGATCTGACACCAAGAAATTTACAACTAACCACGCCCCTCCCTCACCATTGCTATAAAAGGGCTTTGCTGAAAGCTTTCAGGGAGTTTATAGGGTTTTTCAGGCGTGAACCGCCCATCTCCTTGCATGGCCCTGCAATAAACCTTTCTCTGCTCCAAACTCGGACGTTTTAGTATTGTTTGGCCTCACTGTGCGTCAGGCACACAGACTTGCATTCGGTAACACTATCGCTGGAAATTCCAAAGATTTATAGGTTACCTTCTGGGAATTAGGGACAAAGTCCAATGCAATTAACATGATGGTTCTTCCAAACCAATACTGGCCTCTCTTTACGAATTCTGGGGGAAATTAGTCTCTGTCCCCTAATATTGATGTTCCAGTTATCTCTTGCTGTGTAACTAACCAACCTAAAACTTAATGGCTTTAAGCAACAACCATTTTATCACTGCTCACTCTTCTGTAGGTTGACCGAAATCAGCTCAGCAGTTCTGCTTCACGTGATGGTGGCCAGGAGCTCAGCTGGGCTGGAATGTCCTGGACGGGTCACTCACATGCCTGTCATATTGGTGGGAAAAGGCTGGAAGGCTGGGCCTCTCCCTTTATGCAGTTTCAAACCCTCTTCCTCTCCACCTTGCTCTCCAATAGTGTAGCCAGATTTCTTATGTGGCCGCCTCAGGGCTTCCAAAAGTGCAAAGGTGGGAAGCTGCCGGGCCTTCAGTCTCAGGCCCAGAGCTAGCACACATCCGCCTCATTCTGTGGGTTACATAGGCCCAGCCCATTTCAGGGAGGAGAGGCAGTACCCAAGGAAGTGAATCCTGAGCACTGGTTTATGGGGAGCCATCTTTGGAAACCGGTCACCACAGATGATATAACCACCATCTCCATTGGTTGAGAGCTTATGGTGATCCAGGCACAGATCTTGGTGCTTTATTTATGGCATCTCACAGAATTCTCACCATGGCGTGAGGTAAAGAGTATTAGCATATCCATTTTATAGATGAGAAAACTGAAGCTTACTAGCTGTATCAGTCAGGGTTCTTCTGAGAAATAAAACCAATAGGAAAGCCATATTCTAGGCACGTGGGCTTCTGTCTTTCTGTGTGTGTGTGTGTGTGTGTGTGTGTGTAATGTATATTGTATATGTATACATATATATTGTATATACAGAGAGAGAAAGAGATCTTAAGGAATTCGCTCACAGGATTGTGGAGGCTGGCAAGTGCAAAATCTGTAGGGCAGGCCAGCAGCCTGGAGATTTAGGTAAAGTTAATGTTGTGGTCCTGAATGTGAAGGCTGGAAACTCAGGGAGAATATCTATGTTGCAATCTAGAGGAGAATTCCACTTTTCCAGGAAACTTTAGTTTTTGCTCTTACGGAACTAAGATCCCGCAAGATCTTTTTGTCTC